TCCTCTGATGATTGATTCCTTAATTAAATGACTGCTGAGTACCTAAGTTTGTTCTGCTGCTGCAACTTTTGGTGTGCTTCTTTCCAGGAACCCAGCTGGTGAAGGCTTTGACACCAGCACTCCTGTGGGTAAAGCCCAGCTGGTTCTTCTCAGAACACTTTGATGTTCTCAGTGATCTAACAATGCTCCTTTTGAGGATGAGATGTGAGCGAGGCAGCCCTTGAAGTGATATTAGACAAAGCAACCCTGATGGCAATAGAATATTGGTTTAATTTAGTTGTTTAAAAAGTGCTCAGGAAATGGGTGACAAACTTGACTACCAGTTAATTCCTGTTTTTCTAAACATCCTTGAAGGAGTTGTGAAGCTTGATAGCCCTTGAGCTTTAGAACTTGGTTTTTCATGAAGCCATGAGGAGATCCCATGTCTTTCTGACCTTGTGGTGGACAGTGAGGAATTCCGCTTTTGCAGGTTCCTGTGTTTATCCAAAGAAGGAAAGCTCTTTTGATATGTGCCATCATTTTTGTATGTGGATCAGCAAGGTGATACATTTTGCTGATCCAGTGAAATTATCCTCAGCTGTCTGTGAAGAGCTGCAGAAAGAGCTTAGAGGAGACTCTGTGATTGTGACAACATCTTCAGTGATTTTGGAGCCACCTCTGCTACAACCCCTGCCTATAGTTATGTGATGTGCTGCTAAGGCTGTGTGACAAGGATGGAAATGCACTAAATAATACAAAATTATTTATGTGAAGGTGATTAGCACAAGTGCAGCCTCCAAGTGTGCCACAATTTAACTTAGGCACAATACACAGGTCACTGCTCTGCTGTTGCTGCAGGATTGGATTTCTTTTCAGTGTGAGGAAAACACTGGTTGCCCAATCCAATCCATCCTACAGGAAGAGAGCAGCATAGAGCAAAGCAAGGAAAAATAGGAGGCCTGGGATTCTGCAAGAAGAGATTCCTGCAGTGCTTTTGGCACTGAACAAAAGCAGGAAGTTGGGGGTTGAGTTTAATTTCTTGTTTGAGTTCTGCCTTTTTTGAGCCTTCCTCTGACAAGTTACTAGGGAAGAAGGTCAGACAAGGGGAGAGAGGAGCAGCAGCACATCCTAAGGACCTGGAACTGGAGGGGAACATGCTCTAAAAAAGACCATATGGATACTGTCTGTAACTGGCAGAGTTTGCACTGCTCCACTGGAGAACTGTGGTGAATTTTTAAAGGTAAAGGATTGTTTACAGCTACTGAGCTCTGCAGGCTCACTCAGCCTCTGGGGGTGATGTCCTTCAGTACATGGTTAAACCTCATCAGGGTCAGGAAGATAATCGTGTTGTGTCAGACCAAAGGGCCTGCTGAGCCAAATGCCACCTGCTCATGGCAGGAGGTTAGAACTAGATGATCTTTAGGGTCACTTCCAACCCAAACCATTCCATGATTCTAGCACAAGGTCAGGTGGAACAGGCTTGAGCCTCAGCCTGCCTCTCTGGGTGAAGTGTTTGTCTCCTTCCACAGCTTTAATAGCAGAGGCACAGATAACACCCTGCAGTTAAATTATCTAAACCATGTTTCTCTCTTCCTATCTGTCACATACCAAAGGCAAATGCAGGAGGGGTCTGATTCCACTCTCAGTAAACAGTAACTGGCACTACAGTGAAGACCTGCACCTCTCCCCACTCCTTTTTTAAACATCATTTAAGAATGGCTAAAGTAAATGCTAATTACATAAACCACAGTGGCAACAAGCACAAAACCCCAAAACCTAAGAGTAGAGCAAAGCCAACAAATAGAAGAGAATATATTGGTGAACTTGGGATTGTCATGGTAACTAGACAAGCTATAAATTCACTGGCAGCACACTTGGATGTTTTAAGCAAATTGATGTCATTACAACTCCATGAGTAAGGCTTCTGGAATAGGTCTGGTAATAGAGTCTGTTATTACAGCTGCCCCTTCTCAAACTCCACCAGCTCCTTACTGAATACCTGAGCTGAAATTTGCCATATTAAACCCAGCCCCCTCAGGGTTATTAAATACCCCTTTCCCCCATTCTCATAAATGTTCCTATTGCCCTAACCAGAATTTTCCAGAGGAGGGCAGGCACTGCCATTTAAATTGCCTGGCTGACTCAGCTGCTTCCCAAATCAGGGCAGGGAAATGACATTGCCAAAAAGGCCCTGGCATCCTCAGCCTTGAGCCAGTCCCTGAGAACTGCCAGGAGCAGACACCTGGTAATCCAGAGATACAAGTCAGGGAACAAGACTGGGACAAGCAGCAAAGCAGCATGTTTGAGGGACCTGGGAAGAGGAAACCTTCCCCTTTGTAATGTGGACTAAATTAACAACTCACCAGCCCAAGGCAGGTCTGAGTCCTGCCTTAGCTGGCCCTGGTGTTAAGTGACAGTGCATTAGTGGTGGAACCAGTTTAAGCTGTGGTGAATAACAGATGGAAGCTTTCAGCTTCAAGGAAAACAGAAGTCTTAGTACAGCACAAGATGCTGTGCCTCACCCATTCAGCTTGTCATCTTGAAATGTAGGAAAATCCAGTGAGGCTTTCAGGCCCCTTTAATGTAGCTTAAAAAAAAAAAAATCATACACTCCCATGTTAAGAAATACTGAGATCAAAGCTTTTCTCAGCTGGAGCTGTGTCCCTGCTTCACCCCCAGGCCTGTAACCCAGCCATGCTGCTTTTCCCTTTTCCCCACATGCTGGGGTGGAGGAAGGAAGGAAGGAAGGAAGGAAGGATGAACACAGGAGGGAGTCCTGCACTGCAGCTCCTTCCCTGTCACAGCAAACACCCCGTGCTGCTCAGTGGCACTCAAGGAGCTGCTGCCCAGCCTTGGAGTCTCCTCCTAGCCCACATCACTCAGCAGCTCCAAGGAATGATTTCACCTGACCAGAGAGGCTCTGACTCAGACTGCAGCCAGCTGCCAGGGAAGGGTGTAAGGCACTGTGAGGCAGCTGGGAACTCCCTGCACTGAGCTTTATGGCTTGTTTTGAATCAAGAAATGGAGCTGCTTCAACTGACATCTCACACCACACAGTGAACAAACCTTCTGTAGCCATTTCAGGAGCAGCCAGGATGTTTAAGATGGATTCTGTAACATGTCCCAAGTCAAGTTTTTCCAGGTGAACAATAATACACTGCTCTCCATTGAACATTCCCTCTTCACACATTTGCCTGCAGGGGAACAGGGCAGGGCAGCTCCTAGCAGGAACTAAACCCCAGGGATGAAAGCAGTAAAGCAAGTAACCCAATTTACTCAGCAAAATCTCAACTGCAGGCACTGAGTGTTTACCCTGCTCCCCTTTCCAGGCCTCTGCCCTGCTCACTCTTTACCTTCCAATTTCTGCAAATGTAGTAGAGATGTTATGGCGCAGGAACCATTCACCATTTTGTATTTCTCCAAGAACAGAAAGGTAATAAGATGAAAAGGTATGAATAAAAATTCCATTTGAAATGGCCTTTGCCTCTAGGAGGAAGAAAGGATGGCATCTGACTGCAAAAGAGCAACTGCACCCCAGCCTGCTTGTGAGCATCCTGGGGAAAGGGAAGCGAGAAATAAGTAGAAATATTTTCCTGTCCTGACCTGGCAAATTTTTCTATTTTATTTTAAACATTTTTGAAAAGAAACAGTGTCAAAAGTCAATAAGAAAATGCAAGAACATTAAGACAATCCTTTGAACTCACTGAAGCTGAGAGAGGCCAATAAATGTTGTACAGTGCTGATGATAAAATCAGCAAGGACAGAAGTGTTAGGACATTTTCAACCTAAAGCCCAAATCACAGCTCAATCCCAGTATTGCAAAATTAAGAGCTAAGGTCTGTGGCTCCATGGTCACAACTACTCAAAAATAAATTTATATAAATGAAGGGGCAGACTCTTCAGTAATTTTTTAATAGGCATAAGCATGCTGTGAGTCCAGTTCCTTAAGTGCAAAATCGAATTTCATCTGTGTTGCACAAACAGCAGAAGGTCTCATACAACACTGAGATTTTCAACTGAAACATTTCCAGAACAGAAATCAAAACAGGCATTCAAGGTTTAGTTTGCAACTGAGCTGCTCTGCTTTGTGTGGTTGTCTCTAGATATGCCTTAAGGCAGTTTGTTAATAAGAAAAAAAGGGAATTTCTTCTCAGTTACACTATGGTGTTAAGACAGCTGGCTGGAGCAGGTTCAGATTTTCCTTGGTGAAAGAATTCCATTTCAGTGGACTTTAAAGTAGGTCCTGAATAGAATTTTCAGCATAGTTTTGCAGTTCTTCTCATCTGACTGTTTCATAGGCCCCAAAACAGCAATATTAAAGAAGCAGCAATATTAAACAACCATTAACAAAAACCATGAATGGGCAAATGGGGGAAAAAGCTGTAAAGCACTTACAGGTAAACAAAGGCAGTTGCAGTATTTTTCTCAGAAGTTAAAATTACATGCTACTGTGTTCAGAATTTAAACTTCAGACTAAGTGTTTAAAGCAGAATTTTACACCCCTGAAAATAGGGGACTGTTCTGAAACACTTTCATTTCCTGACTGTAACAACCACTCATTGTATACACAGAAGCCACATTCCTTAATCACATTCTAAAGTAGATTTCCTTAAGGTATCAGACACAGCAGAAGAACAATTCTTTCTCACATAGTTATTGATGAGCTCTACCAGTTTCAGAATAGCAAACTTCCAATTATTTAACAATATAAATACTGGTTACTAAAGTTTGAATCATAAGTATAAAATCTCTATGTAAAACCACATGCTACAGCCTATCTGTACAAAGGCCAGGAAAAAGGTTCTTTTTTCTTGTAACAAAGTGCTACTGCAGAATTGACTGATTTGTTGTGGACATTTCTGAACAAATACAGATTGTTTGGCTCAGAGCATTTCCTTACAGGCTCTAAATTCTTTCAGAAGATTGTAAAGCAGTTAGTTCAGGCTGCTCAGTTAAAAAAAACCAAAACAACCCAAAAAACAAACAAACAAAAAAAAACCCAAAAACAAACAATCAAAAAAACCCCATTCTTGAATTATGGCTGTGCAACCAAACAAGTAGGCAAATTTTAATTTTCTCTGAACTCTTTCCCAGTTTTCTGTATTACTTGAGAGGTTTCCATCTAGATTTCATTTACACAGAGCACCATCAGCCAGTACCTGTGTTCCAGCTCCAGTCATCCAAGAAGCTGCTGCTCCTCCTGTGGCACCTGGCCTTTTGAGCATTCCTGATGCATAAGGCTTTGACTCATCTGATTTTCTGTCACATGATCAGGAATGAATGGCCAGGTCTCTTCTCAGCTGAGAGCCCCAAGAGCTTCTCCAATGCCTCCAGCTGTAAGGCAGCACTTGTCCATCACCCTCACCCACTCCAAGCACAGTAATCCTGCATCTTATCCCTCCACCAGAGGCATGGGATGGAGTGAAAGGGGGAAAACCTCTAAGGCAAGAGTCCCAAAGAGGTGGCTCAACTCACACCTGAGCTTCAAAACATCCCTTCCTTTTCATACTAAGGCTGCCCATCAGATTTTCCCAGACATCCTTTATTCACACCTAGACACTTTCAAGTAGAAAGAGAGAACTTGTCCATTTATTTGGGATTTCCAGGTACCAGGCAGTCCAGAGCAGGAGCAGCATCTGACACCAGGCTGGCATCCCTGGAAGCCCAGGAGGAGCACTCAGAGCATGTTCAGGTGTCCTGTGCAGAGATCAGCACATCCCAGCTGTGCTGCAGCCTTGTTCCAGACCCCAGGCAGACAAGTCAGAGCTGGCCAGCCTCTGCAGTGTGCAGGACAAACAGCCACTGCACTGATGGACACACAGCCTGGACACACTGGCCTGTGCTACTTGTACATCCACTCGCTCTGTGGGGTGAAATACAGGAGCCACAGGTACACAGTGAGAGTTGGGGGAGATAATGACACCAGGAATGTTCCCAAATATGTCTCCACATGTTCCCAGTCAAGCTCCAATATTCTGCATTACATCAGTAACTAGGACATTGACTCATACCTTTAGTTTTCATATAAAATACCAGGTATACCTATCTGAATGGCAGAGACAGCTTTTTCAGAATTGGTCCATAACACTGCAGTGCATCAAAATCAGATTTTGAGCATTTGTTCAGCAGCTGCTAAATGAAAAAGGAAATTTTCTGTGGCTGGTGGAAATCGCTTTTGTTTCAGGGCCTCAGCACTAAGGGTTGGTTTTTCATTGCCATCAGAAACTTCAGTGAGTGAGGCTAAAGTAGCCAAGATTTCTTTTGTCTTCAGAGAAATGTCCTTAAGGAAGAGAAAAACAAGCAACCATGTATAGTATTAGGTATTAAAAGGTTTTCACATACACTTACAATAAAAAACAATCAATACAGAACAAAAAAAGGAAGCAATGGTAAACAAATAGCTCATTTAAATAAAGACCCCACTTGTAACAGTTCTTCAGCCTGCTCTTGTGCCATATTGGATAAAGGAAGCACAACCACTCCTCTCCTGACCTTACTGAGCTCTGTGACTGAGTCACTCAGTTGTGAAGTGTCTAATACTACATGGGGGAGGGAGTGATAAAATGCCATCATCATAAAAATCAGGTTTTATGGCTAAGAAGCCATATTTAGCAGGACCTTTTCGAGGTACTGCCAATACTATTGACAAAGCACTGAGCAAAATCCATGCCTTGTGGAATAAACCTGGGAAACCAGTCTTACAATCAACAGAATTTCTGAACTTTCTTCAGCAATGTAGTTACCCAAGAGATAATATAAACTAAGTTATCCTTAAAAGCCTGCATGATAAATAAAAATGCTCATTTGTAAAAAGGCAGAAGGTAGAAGAAACTGACTGATTCTCAGTGCCACTTTTCCTCCTACTCCCTCCTTCTGCCAAGATTCAGCAATAGAAGTTAATTAGATTTAAAAATAAAATATTAACCTTAATGACTTGGCTGTCTGATTTGTCTGGATCTTCTGCAGACTGAACAATTAGTTGTCCAATTTCTTTGTGAAGTTTTCCCATTGTCATTGCCTCTGTGTAAGAAAAAACCAAAACACCACACATAAAATGACCTTTTTTGTGATACCTAGAAATGTATATGAGTAACACACCAAACTGAGGAATCTTTTCATGACTGCCATTTGAAATCTGTTGATAAAGGCAATAACCTTGTATCAACAGCCAGTACCTCTGAAGTGGCCCAAAGCACTGATAAGGAGCAGCAAGATGATAAGCAACATAAAAGGTTTTCTTTCAAATAATCCCCAGACTTCAGGTATTTAGTGCCATGTTTTTCTAAAAACTCATGTAATATATCTCCATTCAGCTGAAAGTCTCTTCCATGTCTAACATGGATGTTATGAAATCTCAATTGTGCATTTTTTGGAAAACAAAGCACATCTTTATACAAATTCCAACTTTAACCAGTTTTCCAGGGTGGCAATAAAATGAAGACAGAAACTAACAAATTGACTTTTCAAAACCTGGATGGAAGAAGGATCGAGATTGTTTGATCCACAGCAAGGTTGAGCAGTTACTGTCAACTCTGGAATAAGCTGCCTCTAAATCCAAAATATAAAGAGCAACCAACCTTTTACTACAGGTGAAACTGTAATCTCACTGTCTGCCAAATTCACATACACATCATAGAGGTCTGATCTACTGCTCACTTCAGAGTCTGTAAATCCAGCAATGTAACCTAGAGCACAGAATTGAGCAAGATTAGGATCTTCAGAAATAAAATCAAAAATCACAGTCCTAAAGCCTCTTCTAAGAGTATCTGACACAAAACCCACTGGACCCAAGAGGCTGCTCTCTTGATATTATCAGTCATTCCACAAGTGCTCAGCAGATGCTTCATTTCCAAGGAGCTTAAAAATGAACTCCTAAAACTGCCTTGAGCATGGATTAACTGCTAACACTACAGCAATATCACCAAGTTACCAATGTGACATTTTAAACTCTCTTCCTCTCTTCCTACTAAAATTACTCATTTGTAACTCACTACGTTCCCAAAATCTCCACTCTGGAGCTTCCTGTCACAAAGTCAGTATTAGACTGGAACAGAGGAATAAACCCAGCAGATTTGCTTATTTATAGCATGTCAGATGAGCAAACCTGGAGCAGTTTTTCTCCATGGAAGGTGCTTAGTGAGCTGTAGAAATGCTGAAGATGAGCAGTCTCCTTGCTCATATGCTGTATAAAGAAGCCTCTTAATGGCCACATGATGTGTCACAGGAACCTCTGCACAAAGCTTGGGCCTGTTCCTGGATTGTGCATGAAGCACTGTGCACGCACAGCACTGTGTCACACAGACCAGCTCCTACAGGTAAACTTTACCTGGGATGAGGAGCCTCAGACTTCACTGACATCAAAACAGAAGTCTGGGACTTCAGGGTTAGGAATTAAAAGAAAAAACAAACATTCCATTACTAGTAATGTGTAGAAGCTGGGAGAAATGTTGCTTATCTAAGTGAGCTGGTTCTGTACAACAGGAAGACTTTTAATCCCTCCAATCAAAGCATCAAAGAAGTCTCAAGGCTGCTTTGCATCTGCGATTAGAGATAGACCGATGTGGATCCACCCAAAGCCACCAGATTAACTAATTATCTTCCCACATACTTGTTTAGCTGATTTGCCTTTTCCAAAGAAAATTATGTTTAACTTTGATCAATAGCATTAATAGCAAAATAACCTTTTTTTCCCTCCAAAGTTCCCTAGTGCAAAACTTTGCAGCAACAAGCTGAAATAGAATTTTCCTGGTATTTTTGATTAAGAAATCATCTCTACCTGTGCAGGCTTTTAAGGCTTCCAGTTCATCCTCATTTAGATGCACATATGAATGAAGAATTGACCAGTCTTGTCGATGCCACACTAAAGCAGGCAAAGTCCTAGGGAGATCAGGGTGCAGCTTGAGACACAGTACATTTTTACTTACACTAAATAAAGCTTCACACTAAAAACTGCATGCCATGAAAAAAAACAATTATAACTAGGTCCTGCTAAGGAGTGTGTATATTTATTTATTTATGAATTGTAGAAATTTCACCTATCAGTACAAGCAGAGTTTATCACTCATTCTGCCATTCAATTTCTCTGACTAGAGCAACATGCAGTTAAACCTTAAGAGGGATTTAGCAGAATTTCTATAAACAGGTTTAAGATGGATTTTTTTTCCTTAAAATACAGGGGAAAAAAATGAACCTCAATGAAGGTTCAAAATTTGTTGGACCTCTGAGGGTGGGTGGGTGGGTGGGAATGAAGGAATTGATAAAGTACCTGGTAAATTCCTGGATAGCTTCTATTCTAGGATGGTACACTACAATTCTCTTCTTTAACATCAGTGCAGTATATAAAATAACTGTTTCCATTCCAAACTGAGACACTATGTCTAGAAAAGAAAGGGAATTATTTTATAGAAGGTATTTATGCTGATATTTTTTGAAGAAGCTTAATAATAACAGCACAGGTAACAGTGTCAGCACAGTTTACTTGAAGCATGTATGAAAACAAGATTGTATTTTAGGCTGTAAGAAAGAAATCAGAGCGGAGACTGTGGCAGAGATTAACCTTTGATGGAGCCAGCAAGGTAAGCCTTCCGAGCATCAAAGTCCTTGCTGAGGAAGGATCCATTTTCTTCACTTTGGCAGATGCCCTTTGTGAGGACTGCAATGTAACTCTCCATCATTTTAACTGGGCTTCCATGCTTCAGGTAGATTCTGTGGGAAAAGGAGAGAGTCTGCTATTTTAACTGCAATCACTGCACCTATATTTATATAAATTAAAAGTCAGTATCACAAATAGCAATATTGTTGGCAATAATTCCAATTCTGGACACCTGGCTGAGGTTTTAAATACTAAACTAGAAGTCTTCCAACATGCACACAAACACAGCTGTCTTTTAGAATTTAAAATAACCCTGTATTTTTATTTCAGCTTTCTATTTTATGAATGAACCAGCATGGACTAAGATAGAAACACACCCCAAAGGTGCAGGTAGGTGTCCAGACAGAGGATTCTTTGTAGACTTGGAAGGTGTCTGCTTAATGAAAAAGCAACTACCACAGTAACTCCACTAACATGCAGATTACAACTACAGCTTTTAATTTTTTATCCAAGTATCTTTTCTTCTGTACTCTTTACTAAATGATGAAAGAAAAATATAAACATGTCCTTGATACTCAAAAAAAACCCAAAATGACACAGAGGAAGCACACCCTGAGAGAGCCATGCACTGTCAGCTGTCTTCCAGGAAGCACAGAGACACTGTAACCTCTTTTACAGGTTAGGATATTTCAGGAACAGCACTGAAGCTGTCAACTACACATTTTCCACAGCAGCTATAGCACAAAGCAACATCACACTTGAAACTCAATGATTATCATGCTTAGAAGAATCCATTCTAGATTTGAAAGGAAGTATTAGCTGGTAAGTCAGCAGAAATGTGATCCACAGTGAATCTAAGTTTGTCATGTATCACCAAATAAGAACACATCTCAGTTTTTCAGTACCCTGCAGAATTGGTAAGTCTGAAAGCATTTCCAAGCCTGCATTATATATAGTGAGTCCCAAGAGCACAATAACCTCACAACTGCACCCAATGAGCTGCAAAATCCCAGGGAATACTCTTGGTATCAAGAACTGGGACTGAACTAATTTGGAAACTGAAGGAAAAGTAAAATAAGAAGCAGACAGAAATGAGAATGGGGACATGAAGGGAAGTGAGTAAACAGGACAAGGAAATGAGAAGAGCTTTTTTGGTTGGAACAGGGCTCTTACTTCCCTATAGAAAAAGCAAAACCATCCCTGGGTGCTGTGCTTGGCTCACAGGAGCTGCAAGCAGCACTTACAAAGATGTTGTGAAGGGATCCAAATCATTCACCATACACAGGGTGATCTTTAAGTCCAGCACTGACATCTTCCCAAACATTTACACCTTTTAAAATATACTCTCAGAGAAAATGAGTGTGAGGGTGGTGGTGGTGTGTGTATGGAGAAGACACAGATTAAAACCCAATGAACATCTGACATTCACTCAACACTTCCTGTATATGACAGCTCAAATCAAGGGTTTTTATAAACCGATTTCCTTTGTAGGACTGAGTTTCCAGCAATTTGTTTGAACAAATGCAGCACAATGAATTGAACCTTTTGCTTTGGCAAGATCTAAGCATGCAGAACCTCAGGCCAGCTTTTGTACAGACCTGCAGAGGATCCTGGTGAAGGCTGCATATTTCTCTGGGTTGAAGTCTTTGGCTGTCAGGACAATGGAGAAGTGGGTCACCTGCACATGACACAGGCACAGAAACACACAGAGCTCAAGTAATGACCCCACAGGAACAGCCTTGGTCACTTCACTGTCCAAGCTCCTAACTGCAGGAATGGCCTGGACAGAGAACTTCTGATGTGACTCAGCTCTAGTACAGACTATCTTCTGCTTAACCTACACACAAGAGTTGCTTTCCTCTAACCTCATGAGGTTATTAAAAAACAGAAAGACATTTTCCTTCCCCATAGCAGGGAGGAAACTTCCAGAATTTGTTGCCATCAACATATTTAGAAAGAGACTGGAAAAAGCACAGACAGTAGGCCCACAAACAGAACTGCTCTAACTTCCTCAATCAAATGATTGTGGGCTGGGGCAGTACCAGACTGAAAGTCTGCAGACAATGATCAGGCTCACGTGTCCTCCTGAAATAGCATCTCCCACTGCACTATTGAAGACAGCACTGTGACATTTAATTTTATTTTACTTCATGGAAAATAAAAACTTGGAGTGAGGAAAGGTAAGCAACATTCTGCTGGGGGCATACCATCTTTCTACTTAAGAAGACAGCATGAAACATGAAAATTGAACAGACTCAACCAACAGTTGAATCATTTTTATAACAGGGAAAAGACAGAATATACAACTATATTTGCTGTCTCCCAGTAATAAATGCAGTGGCAAAGAAAGTACCTACAAAACTCAATCCTTTAGGGAAAAATAGCAGCAGGTTCTATAGGAACAAGACTCTGGACACTATGAAACAAACTCCATAGAAAGAAATAAAATGCTGAACTTAAAATGCAAATTACCTAGAAACAGCAGCATGAAATAGCATTTGTATGTTAACACAAAGAATTGGGTAATGAATATCTCAATCATTCTGTGATGCCATGTCCTGGTGACAAATGAAACAGACTAGCTGGACACCTGGACAGAGCTGCATCTGTGAGCACACAACACCTTGAATCCCTTCTCATTTCTCTCCATGAGAAAACACTGCTTAGCCCACAGAGAACTCTGCAGAAGCCCTCCCTGCATTCTGCTGAAAAACCCCACCAAGCCATACCTTCTTCAAGGCTGGAGAATCTTGAACTTCTACCGTTGTGATGTAGAACCAAGACCTTTTATACTGGCCGAACACAAACGTGTGGAGCAGTTTGTTTTCATCTGTAAGGCAGCACTTTCGCAGCAGCAGAGTCCTCAGTTCCGCTGTTACCGACGGATAACACCAAACCCACAAAACATCTCCGTTGGTGTCTTTTTCTATGGTGGAAAGATGTTCACTGTGAGAATGCCAAACAGCAGCAAGGAAGTAAATTGATGGGTTAATCAGGTTTGTTTCCTGGAATCAGATTAAAATTCCTCCTTACCCTGACCCTAGACATCCAGTTCTGCCACTACGGTTCAAGCCTTAAGGCAGGAATTCTGACACGGGTTTTATTTTTTTAAATGTTATTCTTGACCTGCTTCACGAAGTCCAAGAAGCACCAAGTTTGAATGCACGTTCAACATGAGCACGGCATTGAGGAACAAGCACCCGGACCAGCTCATTGATGATTTTCCCTATTTCTGATTTCGCAACACCAACCTCGGAAGCCGCGAATTTCAGACACTTCGGCCGAGTTGTGCACGGCTGAGCCCCGCAACAGGCAGAGCCGGCACCCCCGGCACGGCACCGCCCGGGCCCGCGGCCTCAGCGCGGCGGGCCCCGGTCTCCCGGCGGGCCCCGGTACCGCCCCAGCCCGGTTCCCTCGGCCCGGCTGCCCCGGCCCTCACCGATCAGCCCCACGGCCCGCAGCAGCTGCGCCTCCGGCTCTGCCATCTTCGCTCCGCCGCCTTCCGCCCGCCCGGCCCCGCTCCACCCTCACGGCCCCGCTCCGCCCCCCCGCCATTTACTGAGCGCTGCCTGCGGCTTCCTCCTCGGGGACCCGCCCGCCCGTTCTCCGGCGGGAACCGGGGAAAAAAGAATGGGTCTGGGAAAAAATGGGCCCTTTTTTTGTCTGCGTCACAGAATCCCTGGGATAGTCAGGTTGGAAGGGACCATGGAGCTCAGCCGGTGCCATCGCCGTGCTGAAGCAGGTCCCCAAGCACGGCACTCGGGAGCGTGTCCAGACGGCTTCTGGACGCCTCCAGGGAGAGAAACTAAACATTCCGTGGGCGGTGTCCCAGTGTATGATCACTGCACAATACAGGAGGAATTCCGTGTGTTCCTGCCTGCTGCCCCTTGTCCTATTGCTGGGCACCACCTGGTCCATCTGACACGTCCCTTCAGATAGTGACAGACATGGATGAGATCCTTGTCTCTTCTCCAGGCTGAACAGGCCCAGCTCCCTCAGCCTTTCCCCAAAAGGGAAGAGCTCCAGTGCCATCACCATCTCCACAGCCCTCTGTAAGTCACAGTTCATGTGAAATGTTACACAAAAGGAGGGTGGCCCTGCTGGCAACCACCTCCTGAAATCGTGGCCAGGATCTGTCCCCTGAGTAACCCAAACCAGACATCCCTGTGTTTCCACACAGCACGGATAAAGGCTGGCTCCTGCCCAGGTGGGGACTGAGTGGTGTGAGGAACAGTCATGGAAGCAGAACAACTATTCCTGAGTAACTCCACACACCAGCAAGTTTTTTGAGAATGTAAATCTCATTTGCAAGAATGTAATCTTATTTGCAAGTTTGGATGAGCAGTGGCACCTGAACATTGGACTCCATGACCTTAAGGGTCTTTTCCAACCTAAATGATTCCAGGAATACCATTATACTGATTAGGAGACGAAACTTCTGAAATAACTGATATAACTAGAGGAGCAACAGAAGCTGATAAAAAATGTGTGAAGTTGTGGGAAAGGCCAGGCCTGTCCCAGCCTGGCTAGGGAACACACTAAAGGGCAGCTTGCCATGTGATTTTCATGAAGTCATCAAGCACCCACGTTAGTAGGAAGAGACAAGACAGACGATACAAAATTGTCGTGAGGGCTTTTATAGATCCAAAAACATGGAGTGGGCTGCTCAATAGCAAACCCAGCCATAAATACCAGGCAGCACACCTGCAGTCCCCATGAGAGCACAGCTGCCCCCATGACAAGGCTGCAGGGACAGCCACTGGCTCTGTTGACATGGGCACAGCTGCCATCCTGACCTCAGATACTCACCCGACAGACTTTTAAATTAATTTTATGAACATAAGAAAAGCACTTGTTCAGCGCTATAAATACTTTAGAGATGACTCTATTTAATGCAGACTACTAAAACACACGTCTGTCATGGCTTAGGAATAGAATTCCCCAATTTAGTGTTCCCACTGAAACACCCCAGACCATGCACCACTCGGTCGCGTCCCCCTCACCTCCCCTTGTGATAGGATGGAGAACAAAGAGGGAAAGATCGCGGGTTGGGCTAAGAACAACTTACTAGAAGCAGATAAAGGATAGGAAAACGAACAGTAACAACAATGCTAATAACAAAGTGTGCGAGAGAGGCGAACGACTCACATGGGGCACAGCGCCACCCGACCGCCCCCCCGCTAAACCCCCTGATTTAAGGCTCGTTCGGACAAAGGGCTTTGTGGAGCTCGCCCCTCGCTCCCCTCACAGGCCCGATCTCTCCATGAACCCATCTCACAATCCCTTCAGGGTCCTGGTCCCAATCCCCCCCCGCTTTTTCCGCGATTTCCCCACGATCCCCTCCCGGTCCCGATCCCATTGCCCCGCGGCTCCGGTGCCGGTCCGGCCGGGCGGCCCGCGCGCGCGCCGGGCGGGGTTTCCGCTTCCGCCGCCGCGGCCGTGGCGGCGCGCGCGGGCCCCTTTCCCTCCCCTTCCCCTGGCGCTCCCTCCCTTTCCGGCCGCGCGTGCCGCCTGGCTGGAGCTCGGAGCCGCCGCCGCCCCGTGAGGAGCCGCCGCCGCCGCCATCATGCCGGTGTACTTCCAGCGGCCCGAGAACGCCCTGAAGCGGGCGAACGGTCAGTGCGGGCCGCGCCCACGCACACACACACAGCGCCGGGTCGCCTCCCGCTCCGCTCCCCGGCTCCCGGCCGCGCCCGCCTCGGGACCCCGCGGCCGGGCCCCCCCGGGAGAGCCCACCCGGCATCCCCCGGTGCTGAGCGGGGGCCGCCCGGGAGCGCCTGCCCGGGTGGGAGCGGGCGGTGCGGCGGCAGCGCGGGGAAAGGGCCGGGCAGGGCCGGCGCGGCCGCGCCGCATGGCGGAGGGGAGGCAGGCCCGGCGGGCGCGGGGAGCGGGCCCGGCCCCGCCTCCCGCTCCCCTGGGCCCCACGGCCGCCTCCGGGCGCAGGGGGAGCCGGGGCTGGCACGGCCTCGGCCCGCCGGCCTGGCCATGAGCGGGCCGGAGCGCGCTGCCCTGCCCTGCCCTGCCGGGGTGAGCGCACACGCGGGCTCATTCCAGGCCCTTGTGGGCACCGTGTGCTGTGTCCCGTCCTTCGGGTGACTCCGGCGAGAACGCAAATGGTAAAACTCCCTCGCTGCCGCACAGGCTGGTAACACTGGCTTGCCCCTGGAAGACCGACCGAGGGAGACAATTCAGCGCTGTAGCCGTTGCTTGCTGGCTGCCACATAAAAGCTGGACTGGTTATATTTATCAGCTGGCTCATTTCGGGCCAAACATATGGCTTTGACGCTTCTGTTTTTTATAGTATCCTATTTTAAGCCCTTAGCGAGGCCATTTAGACTGATCATTGTCACAGGGCTGATCGAAAGATGACACTTAAAGACATCCACAACTTAGGGATGATTTATGGGCCTTTAAATGACAGCAGGAGAGGCTGTGTGGTCTGGGGACTCTGCATTATCAAAGTACCTAGTATAACAAGAAAATGTGAAAGTACTGCGCATCCTCAAGATTTTTAATCAAAAATTCATTGTAAAAATCTTTCCCACAAAGATAAAAAGATGAAAGATAAAATCAGCTTCAGTCAGCGTTCAGGGATGAAGATGTGTTGTATCAGTCCTTTCACTGGATAAGATACACATACCATAAATTTATATTTGGAAATGCTTAGGTAGAGGAAGTGGTATTTGGTGTGCAAGTCACATTTCTGGAATATTGACTTTAAGCTGCTCATTATTATTATTATTATTGATGCTTTCCTGGTATTTAAGTTCACATTTCTTAGAGTGCTGCAAGTCTGCTGTGTTGTGTTGAAGTGAAGGAGTGGAACTGCAGGGGGTGTTCTCCAGACAGATGCTGGCAATCCTGAATTTCAGTGGGCTGAATGGAAAACATGGCAAGCAGTGTCACATCTTACAAACTGCAGGGGCTCAATCTAACCACAGCCAAGCATATTAAAGGGTGGAAAGTCGTACCTAAGGCAGATTGTGTGTTGCAGGAAGCAGTTTAATGTTAAACTGGCATTTTTAATGGGGACATTCAGTGCAGTTTCCAGAGTCTCAGTGTGTGTTTTATAAGGCTCAAGTGAGCATTAGAAGCACTTCATGTTCTCAATGACTTCAGCATACAGAGGTGATGTTTGGAAATATGAAGAGCATGAAGAATTTTAAGTATATACAGATTTGTAAGAAAAGTGTTTTTATAATTGAGTAATGTAGGTCAAGGCAAACCCTCAGCTATTGTTAGTATTTGGCATTGCTTTGTAGTCAGGCATGTAATGCAACTTTAGGGAGTGTTTTATTGTTGCAGATAACAGCCTGCTTACTGTTAGAGATACTGTAAAGCACTTGACATCTTTGTCACCTCGTGTAGTGACATGTTTTCTCAGATTGAAAACTGAGCCTAATTCAGGATTTAGGGTTAGCAGCAGTGAGTTGATGTGTATCAGCTGGTTCTTGACCACTCAGCTTCAGTTGCTACTCTGGATACCTGTTAGCATTTTAAGGAGTATAAAAGTACAAAAAGAAGGTAACTCTTACAGCTACTTATGGACTCAGCTTTACAGTTTATATGTTACAGATCTGAGTTTCCATAACTTACAGTTCCTACTGCAAAGCTTGGCATTGTGTGCTGTATTTGATTCTTCAGGTTCATTTTGTGCTTTTACTGAAGTGTCTCTTAAATTAGCCTTAATTATTTGACTTACTTGTAAGAACCTGCTTGGCCAGACTTAATTAAAAGTTTCAAAACAACATAAATTAATTTTGTGCTTTGTCCAGTTGGTTATCGACCACTGAGCCCTGTGCTTGGAGTGCCCTGGCATTGTTGCAGGATCAAACTTGCCTTTCAAGTTTATTTTCATAAATGAAGTGTAAAGCTCAACAGTAATTGTCTCAAAAGCAGCTCTGAGATAGAAGAGCAGTGTAAATTATGGGATGGAGGGTAGCTTTATTAAATTTCCTCTGGTGAGTAAAGTACTGCTGGGCACTGCCTCACCGTAACTTTGATTATCTTCAGTTGTATCAGGTGCTTTCTCTAGACAGGAGCTTGCTCATCTTCTGCCAGCTCAGTATTTACATAAACTGATCCATGAATATGAGCTGTTGTGGTCCTTAAATTAAAACCACTCTGCTGCTTTCAGTCTAAACCTTTTGCCATGTTTAACTTCAAATTTGAGATTCCAAAACTTGGAAGCTGTCTGACGCCCGAGTCCCTGGAGCAGGCTCCTACTTTAACAATTTCTGCCATTATTTCTTTAGGAATGAGGGCTTTCCAAGGTACTTCATGGCAGTACTGACTCCACCCTCAGCCTTTAAGAACAGGCATATTTCCCACTGGCTGTACTTGACCTCCCTTATCTTTTAAACCGATTTGCTTCCCATTCTGTGTGTTCATTTCTCCTGCTGCTCTGCAGTGCAGGTTTCATTCAGAGCAGGGTCTGTGTTTGTGGGTCGCTGCCTCAGTGTTTCCAGTGGGTGCTTTGCTGTGTTTTGTGCAAGGCAGAATGTGTG